CCTGCCTGCCTGCCTGCCTGCCTGCCTGCCTGCCTGCCTGCCTGCCTGCCTGCCTTCCTTCCTTCCTTCCTTCCTCTATTTATGTTGATGACGTGTCCACTAACCCATAAATGAGTAGAAGTTTAAAAACACAAGCTTTCAGTACAGAGCATAAGCACTGCCCTAGCCTGATTTCATAGCTAAACCTTCCATTTTTTGGATTTTCAAAATAACAAAGATGTAAATGATTTCTTAAATATATTTCTTGTGTACAACCAAGGTGACAGGGACTGAAGATAAAACCTAACTTCTATGGCTAAACCAGGATAATTTGCATATCAGACTAAAAGGCTCATATTAATTAATGAGCACTACACCTTTAAAATAACTATAAATAATAAAAAATAATTGATAAAACTGAGTAAAAGCAATTTTATTGAAATCATGCAGTCCACTACTTTAACAACTCATCTTGTGCTCTTTCTACTCAGTATATCTAGATTGTACAAGATGCTCTTTGCATATTCAGATGCCTTAGGAACCCTACTTAAAATAGCCAGAAGGGGGCATGCCAGTCAGTTATATGTTTCACTCAGTTATTGATCTGTGCTTAACTTTATTTGATCACTTTAGACAGTGGGCTGAGGTTGCAACAGTTTGACATCTTTATATAATTCAAGTTTGAATGTTTTGTCTGTATTGAAAATCAAAGAAAACACCCTTGTTGATGGTTGATCTGTTTGCTAATCAAAGCTTGAATCACATTTTCCCCAAATTCCTTTAATTTCTTTATCCTTTATCTTAAAAGACAGATAAGCTTTAGTAAATATAAAAGTCAATTATAACAGCTTAAATAAAAGTTTGTTGTTGTTGGAAAGCTGCCCTATGAGGTCCAGGCGTCAGCTTGTTTGGTGACTTGCAGATTTCAGTTTTTTACCACTTGAAAATCTACAGAGGGGTTCTTACAGCGTAGGTCTGCATGCAGCTTTCCATCTCAGCCTGAGTGAGCGTGGTGCTCTCGATCTCCTCAGGAGGATCCATCCATGAATCCCTTTTGCTTTTAGGCTCCGCCCTCTCAACGCTCTGCCCTCTTCTCCTGTGACGCAGTGACGTGCTGTTCTCGGAGGCAGAGGGCGGCGAGGCTACGCCACCTGCAGCAGCAGCGCTGAGCCCCTCAGAGCCACCCCCTCCTGAGTCCTTCACATCATGGATGCCATTATCGTCGTCGTCGTCACACATTTCAAACACAGAAGCAGGGTCCATTCCCTTCTCCACCATGGTGGGGCTCCCTTCTTCCAGGAAGCTGTTTTCCATGGAGGCTCCACCACAGGCCGGCCTTCTGTCCACCTTCAGATCAACACAACAGCTGCTGTTGTTATTTTTACTCTCACAACAAGTCAAAGTTCAACTGAGGCGCAGATCTGTACCTTCTCTATAAAGCTGACTTTCCTCAGCTTCAGACCGCAGTCAATCACATTCTCCTCCTCTGTTTCTCCTTCACTGAACCTCCCGCTATCAGCCTCGTCCCGCTCTCCTCCCTCGTCCTCATCAGGCACTCCACATCCGCCGTTCAAACACTTCCTCTCCCTGCACGGAGTTAAATGCTTGATTACGTGTCAGGGAAGCTGAGAGTATAAGCAGCTCGCTGTAGCTATTCTCTAAATGTTTGACAGGCATGAATCATAACAGCATGTGGCACACAAACAATGACAGAGGAAGATAAAGTGAATCAGAGCAGATGTGTTTGAATGCCTCTGAGAGTAAATGATTGGTGTCAGTTACTCCTCTGCACACTAAAGCTGATTTCATCCCTTTTGATGACAATGACCTTCGTTCTGACTGCCCCAATCCAGGTCTGGTGCCCCTCAGTCCGGGTCCAGGCACAGCCTGGTCCGTGGGAGAGGCCTGGACCTTTCCAGCCGCCAGCCGGGCGTATTTTAGCAGAACAGAGAGCAGCAGATCCCAAACGGCTCTTAACGAGAGCTCCCCCAGCTTGTGTCGCTCATACAGGTAAGGCTGCAGGACCTCCTTCACATTCTGAAGGAACTGACGGATGATGAGCAGAGTGGCCAGCATCTGACAGCGAGAGGACGAGAGTTAGTTCACACTGAGAGAGGAAAACAGGAAACAAATAGAGATTTTAAGGTGTTAGAGAAAGGCAAAGGCTTTAAAATGCAGATCAGGACACCCCCCAGTAGGAAAATTCACCAAATCTAAAAGAAAATTAAACAAGCATTGTTTCCCCTTAAGTAAACCAGGAGAGGAGGAGAAAAAAGAGAGGTTAACATGCACTCATCAGCTTTAATGCTATCAATCTTATGTTTCTGATTACATATGTAAGCAACTCACCATTTCTGAGGTTCATATTAGATCAGAATAGATTATATTAACTTTATTGTCCCAAAGGAAATTTTATTTGGGTACAGACTTATATTCATATATTCATCAAGTTTAGAACATAATTCATTTTACCTACTCTGCTCTCCCCTAATTCTTGCAGGGGAATGTTTCTTTGGACACATTATCACTAACAAGTAAAGAAAAATATATTAAATCTGTCATTGAGGTATTGTTTATATGTAGGGGACATTCAGGGTCCATATGAGTACTTTAATTAGCCCTAAAATAGGTCCCAGATAAAATGCTCCATAGGTTACACAAAGGTCACCTCTTGGTTTTGTTTTAATATCTAAATGTGGACTTACTAAGTGTGACCAAAGTCCCATTTAGAACCACGCTAAAAAAATGTATGTGGGGCCGACAAACACAAGCTGAATGGGAACTGGCAAATCCCACAACTAAAATGGCAGTAAACTAAACAGTCGTAAATGTTTCAGTCATTTTATATCTGTGGAAGAGTAAAAAAATGCAGATAAAAAGGCTGACTGTTCGCATGGTAACATATTCAGGGCAGCTGTGAAGGCAGGCAGAATACAAACAAGCAGAGACACAATAGATCCCTGGAAGGACTCGGATACAATGTCCCATCCAGTTTCTAGGAAACTGAGAAAAGGAGCTTCTGTCCTCCCACCAGTACCTGCTCCAACACTAAACATTTACACTAAACTCAATAAGATGACCAGGATTTCCATTCGAGTCTTTTACTTTGAAGTGTTTAACTATAGGCTCACATTCTGTTTTCATCTTACTTTACTTTCTGCCCACTGGCTGACTTTTTCTTTTAACAATATGAAGAATAGAGCTTTTATTTTTGATTTTCCTTTACACTAAACATTAGTATATTGATTGTTTTTTAATTACCTTGAAAGCTTGCTTGTCCAGACTTCACTATTACAGGACTTAACAGTTATTGTTTTGCAGCAAAGGCGTGACTTCTACTTGCATGCATGTATGTTAGCTAAAACTCCTTCCCCTTCGATGTGGCAGCAAACTTACTCTCATTAAATGGAATGTGCACAAATTGAGAGCTTCTGCAATTTGAAAATTGAGCTTTTCTCCACTGCAATTTGCAAATTCAATAAATAAATAAAACAGTAACTGAACCAAGTTGATCCAACTTAATTTATTAAGCATATAAGTTGAAAACTTAAATAAATTAGTTTTGGCAAACTAAATTCAATTCCTTTTTCCCAACTGAAAAAAGTAATTTAAGTTGGAGTTGCATTTTCTTTTTAGAGTGTAATAAAAGTTGGAAAATCCCATACAATGTCATCCCAAAAAATAAGATTTGCAGTTTAGGACAATAGGTGATGTTTCACGAAAAGAAACAATCCTGACTCATTGATAGACAGTTTCTTTCAGCAGCTGCAAAGAAACACAGACATGCACCGGTTTAGTAATATCGAGGTAAGAGCTTGATCTGAGCCATCAGCTGGAACACCTGAATCCAGTCTTTTTTTTTTTTTTTTAAACAATAAACACTCTACCATCAACACCCACAAGGACCTTAAAGTGTTGATAATGTCTGAGACAGAAGAAGTTATCATTAAGCCCCAAATTATGTATAACCCTATAAATAATTTTTATGAAAAGGAAATGAGAATAATGTCATTGTGACAACAAATAAAAAAATGAAAATGGAGATAAAATTTTGTGAGGAATAATATAGTTCATTGCAGTCCAATAAAAAGTAAGCAATTATTGCGTGTAATTTTTTTCAATTATCAAAGAACAAAAATTTGATTTTTTTAAAAACTTCAATTCAATTCAGTTTATTTATATAGCGCCAATTCACAACACATGTCATCTCAAGGTACTTTACAGTTCAACCAGATCATACAGTCAAATTGATTCAAAGTTTTCTATCTAAGGAAAACCAGTTGATTGCATCGACTCATTGACTCGAATGCAATCCCTCACACTAAGCATGCTTGTAGCGACAGTGGAGAGGAAAAACTCCCTTTTAACAGGAAGAAACCTCCAGCAGAACCAGGCTCAATGTGAGCGGCCATCTACCGAGACCGACTGGGGTTCAAGGAAACAGAAGCAGAGATATAAAAGGCAGCTGTACCAGGAGCACATCCAGCCAGTCACAGTCAGAGAAACAGGACAACACTAGAAAAACAGGCCGATCTCCAACATCTAAAAGCAAAGGGGTTGATGGCAGCTGATATTTATCTCCAGGATGGTGTCAATCAAATTCTCTATATTGACCAGATTCTTTGCATGATCCCACTCAAAGTCCTAACGATTTATCCTTGGTAATAAGCTTGCTAATAAGTTCCAAGTCTAGTAAAAAATTCAAGATAACTTTAAACCCAGATTTGCCAGAAGTATGAATAATTTAAAGCTTAACTATAGTAATTTTCAGTATTTATGAGATGTTAAAAATTAATTCTGAGGAAACACTGTGATCTAAGATCCATTTAAAAGAAAAAAAATTATTACTTCCAATATCCTATGCAACCTCCATGTCTCCAGTTCATTCAGGCCGTGCAAAAACAACAGAGAGCAAGACTTAAATTAGATAACAGGAGGTTTGAATGCCAGCATTGGAACTGCATTTCTGTTTTGACACCTAAAGTATCGACCATTGCTAAAACCAGTTGGCATGACAAAGAAAGTACAGCTTATTTGATTGAAACATTATTGTTAAAACCACAGTCAGTAATTGATTGGTGGTCCATGCTACAGTAGTTTGTTCCCTTTATTTACTGTTTATTAATGCCAAGCATTACATGACATGATGTTGATGTTTATGGATTTTTTGTTTTTTTTTGACAATTTTTTAAAGCTTGCACAAAGAGCAAGAAGTGAATTGAAACGTGCCTAAAATGGTGTGAAGGTGCTACCTCAACCATACGGTATAGTTCTTAGAGAGGGACTGGATTCGGCTACCATTGATACTGAAAAGCTACAGTTTAATAACAGCTAAAGTTCAGAAATCAGACCCGAATGTTTGCATGTTTATTCATCTCTAGCAAAAAAGCCTTCCCATCACCAACGGGCAAACCAGAACAAAGCAGACGCAGTGGCAGCAATGAGCCAAGACAGAGGAAGACAAAATGGACCTCCAGTCCCACCCAGATTAATAGGAGTCATACTTTAGACCTGAGCAAAGCCCTGAAGAACCACGGTACAGAGACCACAATCATCTGAACCTTGAAGAGGATGTAAGGAAGCAGATTTTCCCGGACCTGCCGCTGCAGACTCCGTAACAGAGACAACAGCAGCAGCATCTTCCATACAGGAACAACATGGATGGGAGTGTAGAAGAATGGGCGTGGACATCAGTGTGAGAAGACAGACACGGCAAAGCATTTAGAGGGTAAAATGATGCTAACGCCTATGGTGTATGGGTAAGTAATGTTTAAGGTTAACTGGACTAAAAAAACATGTTTCAGCTCTTTTCATACCTCCTTCAGACGCTCCATGTCTTTGAGGTAGAATCCAATGTAAAAAAGGCTGAGATAAGAATTTACAAACTGAAACTGCAAGAAAAAGGAAGGAAAGGTGAGAAAAATTATTTTAATGCTACAGGGAAAAGTTCAGTAGTGATAAATCTACTCACAAGAACCATTTTGATGATGAGATTTTTCTCATAGGCACTCTGGAGTCTGTAGTTTTCTACATTAATGAAATAAAAAAATAGAAAAAGCAGAATGAACCTAAAAATAAGCACAAATGAGACTCACTAACTGTGTTTAGATGAGCTGAAGCTGGACTCTTACCCATGTCATTGAGCCAGCAGGCGATTTTCCTGTACACCTCGTCACATGCACTCACAGTGATAGCAAGCATGATTTCAGGGATAAAGCGAGCCAGCCGAGGCATTTCCTTGATCCCCATCACAAACTCCTGCAGGTCACAAATGCAGCTGTTTTTATTTATTTTTTTTACTGTATTAAAGGAAAACTAAAACGTAAAAAAAAGAGTTTTAACCCATAGATGTGGGATAATACTATTTAAAATTGTCAATAAAATTTGAATGCCAAAATAAAAAAAATGTTGTTTTGAGGATGCAGCTGCTACGTTTAAATGAGCAAGACATTCCAAACAGAAGCTGACCTGCAGCTCAAAACAGATGAGCATGACGAGGAAGACAAAGCAGAGGCAGAGGATACATATGGGCAGGCTGACCAGCCATCTGAACACACGCCTGCGCCATGCAGGATAGTAAAACTCCTCACATCCCGTTATGGGGCTGCAGCGCTTCACTCCCTGTGCACAGAGAGCGTTAAACAACACGAAACAGGAGCGAGATGCAACGACAGACATTAGAAATCAACCCCCCCTCACCCGGAACTGAGGACGAGGCTCCTCCAGGGATTTGGAAGGTGTGTCCAGTGTTCCCCATTTGTACGCCAGCTCTGCTCCCCGCCTCTTCCACCGTTCCAGGAACAGAGTGGCCCACACCACGTTGAAGAGAGCAAACACTACGCAGCAGATGTCACGACTCGTCTGGGAAACACAAACAGACGCATGTTTCTGGCAGTGAACAGGCGGTGCTGTCTTCCTGTTAATAATTCAGGCCACCAAATGTTGTCTCCTCACCTGATCCGACTCTGTGAGCATCCACAGCACAAAGCCGATCACAGCAGGATACAACATGGAGGTGGTGTAGAAACCCAGCCAGGCAAAATACATCGCAATCTTCACCCCAAAGTAATCGCAGATATCATCTGTAAATAGGGTGCAAAGAACAAGCTGCAAATTGTACATTAAAGTTGCAATTAACCTGCTAATGATGCATGTTTTAAATATTCAAGAATTTATGCAGGAATGACAGGAGAGGATTGGGCCACTAATAAAATTATTCTCTGGATGGATGGATGGATGGATGGATGGATGGATGGATGGATGGATGGATGGATGGATGGATGGATGGATGG